GAGCGCCTATAAAAAGACAGTAGACAAGAAATTTTTAGATGACAAACTTGAACAATGAATGAAAGATATCGCGTTGTATTTTACTCTCGTAGAAAAGGAACCAATCTGATTTCTATACTAGAAACCACTGGAAATAGGCATAAATCATTTTGATGCTGAAACCAGACGAATAATAACTAAAAGTGGTTAATAAATCTCGAGAATCACCAAAAGTGATTAAAACCATGTTCAATCATTAGAAACTATCTGAGATTACTGAAAAGTAGGAAAAATCTTCATTACGAAGTTTGAAAGTAAAGCTCCGCTTTTAAATGATTCTTACTAATTTTTCTTGCCTTTCAATAGTTGATAATACTCCTAGTCATTATCACTGATTTATAATGATTTATCATGGTTTTTCTTCATTTCTAAGTGTTTCCAATGATTTCTATTTATCCATGGTAAACAGGTAATAACCATTCCTAATGATAGAAATCACTAGAAGCTGAAGAATACATTAGAACTCATAGAAATGAAGAAACCAGTTTGTTTCAAGAGGAAAAAGCGACACTCGCCTAACTCAGTGCATTCCACTGTACTCCAAAACTATGTTAAAACTATCCTTGAAGAATTGCTCTGTATTTCAATTCTATTATCGACCTGTTTTACGGTCTCTTATTGGGAATCCAGCTTATGTAAATCAATCGGCCATGGCAGTGGGAATACTTCATTCGGCTCCAAGCTGTAACTATCACTGAAAAAAGATGCCGTACCGAACCTATTTTGAAATGAATTCTAAATCCTTTTAAAAGTTTCGCATGAGCCTAAGATACGTTTAAAAGACTGATCAAGGCTCAAGAACCTATTTTAAATTTTGGTCGACTTTCTGCAAAACTTTCGAAATGGTTTAGAATCCGTTTCAAAAATTGAAACCATTTTCACATTCTGTATCGTGTTCTAACGCATTTGAAAGTTTCTTATATGTAGGACACTCTTTTTGAGCTTTATACTGCGCACGAAAACCTCGGTGATCCCGTATAGCACCTATTTTTCTTAGTGCAATGAATTAAGACGAAGTATTTGAGCTTTAATGTCCGATAGATTTACTTATAATGAAAGGTCGCATACTGTCAGTGAAAGAAATTGACCACATTCGAATCAATTCAAAGTTCTCACCACCCAACTAACAAATTTAAAATATGACGTCCCTATGGCTAGCGTGGATTGAGATATTGAATTTCTCAATTAATTTCTCTTGCAGGCACCCAGTTTCTAGCAAAATCATATTGACGAATTTCAACCTAAAACTTTGTATGCATGTAGATCTCAATGAGACTAGTTTACAAAAAGAGTTTCAGGATATTTGGAAAAGATTTTGTTCGACATAAGAATGTCTCAGGATATATAACTTCTATAAAATAAAACGCCAATCTTTTGAGAGATTCATATCTCGGATGGAATACGCTAAAAAACCCTGAAACTCTTTTTTGTAAGCTAGACTCACTGAGGTCTTGATGTCACCAAAGTTTCAGGTCGAAATTCACCAATACGAATTTGCTAGAAAAGTGTTGCCTGCAAGGAAAATTAATTGAGAAATTCAGTATCTTGATCCACACTAATCATGAAAAAGTCATATTTTAAATTTGTTAGCTTAGCGGTGAGAGCTTTCATTTGATCCGAATATGATCGATTTCTTTCACGGACAATACGCAACCTCCCATTGTTGGACTTGACTTCAGCTAATAGAGCGTAATGCAGGTAAAAAATAGACTTGAAGCTGCTAAAAACTTTTCAAAGATAGCTTCGACATATCCTTGGAGTATGCTGAAGTACAGGTGTCTCGCTTTTCCCCTCTTGATTTGTTCCATCTTGCTCGTGTATAGAAATATTTACATTAAATACTTCATGAATTATCCGATATAATGATGAATGTCAATGTAAGACGACTATAATTTACTTATCAGGAATAAAGTAGCAGAGGTTTTTTTCGTATTTCACTATTATTTCGTAATAAAGTTAACAAAGAAACAAATTAGAAACGAATACTGTTGCTTTTCTTTTATTAGACATCCGAAATCGTAAGAAGTTGATATAAAAATAACATCAATGGTTGCTTATGATTTCAGGTGATGCCAGACTGATTTCAGCAATTGAAATCAGTTTGTTTCCTCTTAGCCAATAATATATTTGTTTACACCATGCGCAAAATTAAACACTATCATTAGTCAACCTTCTTGTTTATAGCAGAGAAGTATGTGATAATGGTAGTCCTGAAGTAAAACGAAAATCGTATCAATTAAAATGAAATAGATATATAGGAGGTATATAATAATAGTGACATTTATTAAGAAGCAATAGAGAAGCTTTCTCTCACTCATGCACATAAACACAACCACTTAATTTGAACATGTCAACTCAGCTGCTAGTAAACTTTCAAATTAAGATTTTTTAATTCAACTTTTTCGAAGGTGTCTTACCATAAATAAAAAATTCAGCAAAGCAATCCGTGCCTTCTCGATTACAGACGTTTTTTTTCTTAATTGAAGGAAAAAAATATTCACAAAGCAGAATCGATGAGAGGAGTAGAGTCAAAAGTGATCGTCTTACGGGAACAAACGAAAATGGATTTCATAAGATGGTTCGTGCAGATGGGTTGAGTTAAGAATATTAAGCTGCTTCACGCTAGTCTAGTATGGGACTTGATGTGTCTCCCAGACCGTTTTGTAAATATGTATTCCGAATGAAATTATTTTAGGTAACGAAGATGAAGCTAGATAAATTAAAAATATCAATGTCCATCCTGAAAGATGATAGCTTTTCTACAATTATTACGCCATCTAGTAAGGAAGATATAATGTTCCAAAATTATCATTTTGGACTCTATTTGATCTCATTAGAATTCGACCGAAAATCAGCAAATGTGTAGAAGATTTTCATGGCCAATTAAATTCTCATTGTCAACCACATCAAAATCTATGGATGTTCAATTATATTTTATCAATGATTTTTCTGTATTTTTTTTGTTTACATAATAAATCTTGTCTTGATCCTACAATGCGGCCACTTTTGTCTCTCTCTCCTGATTCTGCTTTGTGAACATATTTTTTTAATTACCCAAAAACTTGCCTGCGATCAAGCTGTGCTCAAGCAATCGGTGTGAAGCTAGAGTAAAGAGGGATGAATTTGCACAAGAAATGAAAATTTGGTCTTGTACAACTCGTATCTTTGTCATCTCTCAAGATACAAAAAAGTTTTGCTGCAAAATTTATAACGGAAACATTTTTTTTTATCAATCTTTGTTTTTTGTTTGCAAAAATCTTATCAGAATACATTCCCACATCGATTTTAGTAAGACCTACTCTCAACATGGTCCATTTATCCCACGTGGGTTAATTAGGTACTTAATGTAGATATGTGAGTAAATGGGCATTCTCAACAATTTCTAGCGCGAATAATGCGATCTATTTGTTGAAGACATTTCCAGTCGGATCTCTGCCAGACTTATGTCATTCGATAGTCAAAACATTTCTCTATGTTCCTATAAATGATACTCTACAAAGACATGACTCAACTCTCCTGATCTTCTATATCAAAGAGTGATCAAGAAAGATAAGTGAGCCTCACTTTCGTTCCAGAGTTCATGAATACGCGCTAGTCTGCAGTTGTCGTTACTGATCGAAACGTACGACCGATTATTTTCAATTGCTTGAAACAATAATAATCAAATACTGACAAAGGCACATCTCATCTCATTACTTTGGCTATGCTTTTATCCTCTTCTAGTTTCAATAAGTCCTATATAATAAACAGAGCCTTACCTGAAATACGAGGTATCACATCGGATAGTTCCTTCGTTAATATTCAAATGAAAAATTTTGATTACCAGTTATATAATTACTATACTTATTATTTTATTTTCTTATTGGAGTTCATTAGACATACAAGTAAACAGTGAGGTAAACTTAAGGACTTCGATGATCCTTCTTGATAATTGAAGATAAATACTGAATAAAACCAGCATACTTAAAAACATTTAAACGAAGATCTCAATGATACATGTATCATCATACTTTGAATTTTAGTATGTTAAAATTTCTATTGACAACTCTAGCATTCATAATGATGACGTTATTAGAAACGGTTGATGATCATATATCTATAAATTTCTGTGTACGACTAAATATTTTTATTATTTTAAATATTATTATCATTAATTATTCTGTGTTTTTTTTTTGTTCGAATCACAATTATCGATTTAAAAAAAAGTGAAATTACGAGCTTTCCGGAAAAATACAACACAACATCAAAATTTCGAACAAGAACATACATACGTACACAAATATTCTTAAAAGCTAAAGAAAACAAACACATATATAATGTCTGACTTTGTAGTGTCACTTTATGAAATCATACGAGAGATGTAGGAATGTCAGAACATGCTTTATATAGGACTTTCATAACTATCTAGTAAATATTATGGAAGTCACAGTCTTGAACAAAAAATCACGTAGATCGGAAGTTAATCTCTAAAATGAGTGAAGACAGAATATCATGTGCACTCATATCGAAGTTACAATCTCGACAAGGAATTTTGTCAAATTTTTTTCCGATCAATTAAATTAATAATTAGTTAATTGATTGATGAGTTTTTTTAATTAAAACAATCTTCGAACTACAACTAAATTAACGGAGAGGAAATCATAAAATCTGCTTGATATTAATATAAATAGGGCGATTCGAAATCTCGGAAAACAACTTCAACATAATATATTTTCTGCTCACTAGTACTTGTTGATTGTCTTATAAACGCTAGTGATAATATTTACAACAACACATAAAGTAATTCACATTGTAAGATGTGACTATATTCAAAAGATGCCTTTGGTTTTTTTTTGAGGAAATTTAAGGAGACTGCTAGAAAAATAGGACGACTACAAAGCCAGCATACAAAACAATTTTACACACAAGAGATATTTCATTTTATCCATATTTAGAACGTATGAGTATTTGTAAATTTTTGTTTACAAGATAGAACATAAATGCTTCTGTTTGTTTTTACTCGTTCGTCGGCCTGAAGGACCACTGCCAGTTACACGATGTTCATCAAGTGTATCAAACCAATCATCAACAGCACCCATCAATACTTTAACAACATACTTTAAAAAAAAAAGTTTTTTCCTAATATACTTCAGATATATTTAATAACATACATCACCAAAACTAAATGGAAAATTTTTTCCTTGAACTTTATGAATTTCTTGTCTTTCAGACTTATAATCATCGGCAACATCAAGATTTGGTATTTTTTTATCCCAACTATTCAGATATCTGAACAAAACAAAATGATAAAGAGACAGAAAAAAAAAATAATTAATACAATTATGTCTTACCCAATACATTCATTATCATCTGTACAAGCAATAATCGTTACTGGAATACGATTAATTGGATTTCGTTCATGACGAAGTGCATGTTCTAATGATTTTGTATCTTGTTGTCCAGTTTCATTTGTTGGTACACCATCAGTAGCAATTAAAATTAATAATTTACGTTCTTGTATTTCAAGTTGTTTTTCTCGTAAAACATGTCGAAGTACACGAAGAATCGGTGTTGGACCTATTTGATATTACATAAATAAAATAAATATTTTTGAAATTCTATACACCTGCTGGTGGAACAGCAAATGTAGGAATTAATTGTTCAGAAGTTTTCACATGACGCATTGGTTCACGATTTAAAAAGAAGATATCTGAAAAAACAATTCTCATAAAAATCATTGGAATTTGTGATCACTTACCGATTCCATCTGGATCAAAACTTGATTATACAAAAAAAATAAAATCAAAGAATATATGAATATACATCTGGTATATAAATAAAGAAAACTCATACACAGAAGCAATATCAACTACAATTGAAACTGTTTGTCGAAGTTCATCCCATCGTGTAGGATTACGATCATATGGACCAGTAATGTCACCTTATGTGATTAAAATATTTATTAAAATACAAAAAGAAAAAAAGAATTTTACCTAACGGTGTATTCATCGATCCAGAATCTAAAAGAGAAAAAATGTTGAAATAAGTTTATTTTGAAATGTCTCTTTATTGCATGCAAAAATATAAGAGATATGTAAGTATACTAGTAAGAAATAATAGGGTGTAGTTGAAGAGAAGATACGCATTGTTGATCCACACCCGCTATGATAATTTCTCGGAAAAACGAGAATTGACCATCAATTTGCTGACAATTTTGTCATTCAGAGAAAATAAAGTGATGATTTTTCTGCAATCGTTTTCATACTCTCATATTCATGTTTACAAATTTCTTGATCAATATGAATGTGAGATCAAAAACTATTGTGGATACTGTATTCTTTTTTATTTTAACAGCCATAGCACTATGAGAGCACTGAGAATGAATTCCTATTTCTCAGTCCTTGAACATTCCTCTAGTCATTGGTCCCAATCAAGGATTATTTTGTGCAAAACAAAGGTCTTATTTGTCTTTTATTACTGAAGGCTAAGCTACAGTTTGACATTTCTAGGTCTGCTTCTTTTGTTGTCAAAGGTGTGAAAGCTGTTTGTTTAGTGATTCTAAAAAAAGATGTCATTGAGTGTATTATCGTGATGTTTTAATAATAACTCTTTTTAAGAACGAATTTCATCATCGTAATATTGGCTGTATTAATTATAAACGGAGCTTATTGCAACATAAATTTCGAATTTATGACAATTTGAAAATCAAAAAACCCAGATTGTCGACAATTTGCTTTCACATGTTGCAGTATGTTTTAAATCTGATAATATATATTCAATATTAGAGTGTTTTAGAAAAATGTTACTTTCTATAAACAATCTTAAAGTCTATCGTTTTTCTCAGTCGTAATATCATTTTAGTTATTTATTATTTATCAAGAGAACGACAGATATGAATCAATAATGAAATTTTATTAGTTAGATGGATATAATAACTTTAAAGTTTCTCTTTGTACTATTATTCTTTGTCACGATACATGAGTCTACATAGTTTATATTCTCATGAGAATACAAAAGAACAAAAAAGTATTGTATTGAAAATTTTTTTATTTATCTTATTCTTTAGATAAATAAAGCTTGAAATAGTTAGATATGTTATTCTATGTCTTATTATTTGACTTACCATCAACAATAAATACGATTTCATATCCTTCTAATGCTCTTAATCTTGTTGCAAACTCTCGATTAATTTCATATCGATTAACTAAATATTGAAATTTTCTTAAACGTTCTTCACTATCAACAGGAGCATTTTGTTGAAATGAATTAACACCATCTTGACTCGGATATGGTGGTGGTGGTGATGGTGCACTTGCAGGAAATTGTTGTGGATACATATTTGATTACTATTAACACTTCTACAAAATAAAAAGAAACTCACAAACTTGTTCTTTTATGTCTTTATTTTGCTTACTTCTTTATTTTATTTTGTATCTGACGTCACAAATAAAGACTTTGCTCGAACGAAAAAATAAAACATACAAAAAAAAATCTAAAAATATATTTTTTTTTTTCATATTTTATCAATGTCTAAGAAAGAAAAAAATTATGACACTATAGTGAATCATAATTGACGTCGAACCTTCAATGTTTGTCTTCATTTTGACGTCAACTCAATGATAAAGACATAAAGACTAAAAATGCAAAAAAAAGAAAGAAAGGAAAGGAAAACAACTCCCTGATTAGGAATATAATAATTATTCCACATTTCGGTTCTTCTTTCTCTTGTGTGTACGCAATAAAAAAAAAGACGAGAAAGTGCAGCATGCACGAAATATATCTTGGATCTGCTCATATTAAAAAAGATTTTATTTTAAATAATGATTACAAAAAAAAAGGATGTTATAAACACATTCTCGTTAATAAATATGCCATGAGTTTTATATCAGAGCCAAAATGTTTAGAAATATTAATTCAACCAAAGTTATATACATAATTCACAATTTGATTTCGTTTATGAATTTCGATTCATTAGTAGTAAAAAATAACATAATTACCAAAATAATGATCACCAAGTGATAGATGAATCTATAATGAAAAATTATAGAATATTATATATTGAAAATATTCTAGTCATAGAATGTAATAACAAAATTCAATTGAAAACAAGAACAAAAATTTGAAACTTCATTAAAAATTATTATGGAAAAAACAACTTCAAGAAATCAATTTTATTATAATCTAATGAATAATATTTCTCTTGAAAACATTGATTAAGATATATACATTATGAAAAATTATTTATAAATACCTTGTTATAAAATAGCACATAATTTTCCTTTTCGTTTACGACCAAAATCTTTACTAGGTCGTCCATAACCATCTGTTGAAACTTTTCTTTCATCTAAATCATCAAACCAACTATCTACACCACCCATTAGTATTTTAACAACATACTTAATAGAAAAATAAACGTTCAATTAAAAAAAAAAAACAAATTTATCGAAAGCAATAATAAAAAAAAATGACTTACATCACCAAAACTAAACGGAAAATTTTTTCCTTGTCGTGCTTGAATTTCTTTTTTTTCATTTCTATAATCATCAACAACATCAAGATTCGGAATTTTCTTATCCCATTCGTTTAAATATCCAATACAATCATCATCGTCTATTATAAAGAAAACAGAAAAAAAAAGACACAATTATATTGAATTTAATGAATAATTTTAATTTATCTCATACCTGTACAAGCAATAATTGTTACAGGAATACGATTTGTTGGTTTACGTTCTTGTTTAAGAACATATTCTAATGAACGAATATCTCGATGACCTTGATTATCTGTCGGTACACCATCAGTTGCTAAAAGTATCAGTAATTTACGTTCTTCTATTTCATGTTGTTTATCACGAAGTACACGTCGGAAAACGGGAACTATCGGGGTTGGTCCTAATTAGATTAAAAAATACAAAAAAAGAAGTCATCGAACGAGTCAATAATAATAAACAACATTCATCTATTATTATTGAACATACCAGCTGGTGGAACTGCAAAAACAGGTACCAATTGTTCTGAATTACGAACATGAAATACAGGTTCACGATTAAGAAAATAAATATCAACACCATCCGGATCAAAAACACTAGCTAAATCAACAACAATTGATACAGTTTGTTTTAATTCATCCCCTATAATTATAAAATTAATATTCAAATATTGATCTATTTAATCATACATCGAGATGGTACTTTATCAAAAGGACCAGAAAGATCGCCTAAAATAATATAGAATAATTTAATTACATAAATATATTAAACGTTTAAAATTAAATTACCAAGTGGCGTATTCATCGAACCTGAATCATCACATATAAATACTATTTCATAGCCTTCAAGCACACGTAATTTTGTCGCAAATGTATGGTTAACTAAATAATGAAAAGAGAAAAAAAAGTTCTTTTTTTTTTTCTTTTTTATTAAATTTTATTTTTATTCAACTTACTTTCATAACGAGCAACAAGTTGTTGAAAATCAACCATACGCTCTTCGGTTGGTCGATAATAACTAAGTGGTTCTTGATTAGCTTGCATATTATTTTGATATGGTGGTGGTTCTTGTTGTACTTGTGGATATTGTTGTGCATACATGTCTGTTTTTTTTGTTGTTGTTGTCTTGTTCTATATCACACGATGAACTTTCAAAAATTTGACTATCATTCAAGATAAAACATTACTTATAAATTGTAGAAATCTAGAGAAGTAAAAGAATGAGTTTTATTTGCATTGATGCAGAAGATGAATAGCGACGAGAAGAATGATGACGCATCCGCTTTAAACAAAAGGCTCTTTGTCACTCGCTCTACTCGAATGTCATTCTTCTACATCTTTTAATCATCACTTATGCTAATGAATAGAAAAAAAACACAGTCATTCTAGACATGAAATCAGCTCGCATTCTAACAGCTAAAAAATACTAAGTCAACATTGATTACTTAAGTCTTGTCAAACAAAATGAATATTTATCTATATATATTTATTGTCTGTCAATTGTCAGCCATGGAAAAAATCTTTTTTTTTTTTTTTTTCTTCTTTCTATTTATTTTTTCGTTAGTAGTACATGTAGTTGGGTGATGCGAACAGATGAATAAAGAAAAAGAGCAAAAAAAAAGAGAAAAAAAAAAAAAGAAGAAAGAAAACTGATATTTTATGAAAGGAAACAAAAGGACAAAGAAAACTCAGGCCGTTCACTACATAGATAAAGAACCAGATCAAGTTAAATAGATTTAAGTTTGACGAAAAAAAAAAACAAAGAAAAAAAACACGAACCACAAAAAAAACCAAAACAAAATCGTTCCTGGATACAAAAAACCCTTCATATAGAGACATGACAAAAAAAAACAGCCGTATGTGTGTATAATAGCGAAATGTGTGGTATTTATACACATTCCCCTGAGACAAAAAAAAAAAGAAGAAGAAGCATTGATAATAAAGCCGAAAAAAAGCAAAACAGTGTACGCAACGGTCACTGAACTATTCCAAAAATTTTTCTTTTTCTCTTCACCGTTCGAGAATAAATTCACTTATTTCCCTTTTTTTTTTTTTTTTTTTCTTTTCCATTAGAAGGAAGTGTGTTACATCTCATAGAAAACTTCTTTACAATATATGAATTACACACAAAACATACATATAGATATTTATAATATGAATGAATCAATTACAAGATGATAAACAATAAGCTGTACATAATAATGAACCATTTTCTTTTTTTTCCCTTTTTTGAGCAAAAACAAAACAAACAAACAAAAAAATGAAAATATAACAAGAATCTCTTATGATGATAATCAATACAATATTCGGCTGGCAAGACTAATACACATTGCCTGAGCCATTGCTGGTTTCAAAATGATATTATATATATATGTATATATATATACAGCAAAAAACAGAGTTTGAGAGCGACCACTGTCACACTATGAAACACAAAGAAAAACCACACTGAATAATGAAATAAACAAACAAAAAAGTCTAACTATAGAATAATAGAGAGAAAGAGAGAGAGAGAAAAAAAAATCAAACAAAATATAATGTTAATTGTCATAATGTGATAAACCATTTGTATTTGATGTTGATGATGTTAATAATGGACCCATATCGGAATTTTTACTTAAATATTTTTCAAGTTTTGTTATTATATGTTTACCATATGTAAATTTACGAAGTGATTGTATATGTGGACGAACTTTTTGTAATAAAACTTTTCGTTGAGTAGGTTCAGCTACATCAATCATCTAATTTAAGAAAAAAAAAAAAAAAAATGAGTAAAAATCTAATTTGTTATACTCAATAGATCATTTTTAATCTTTCAATTAAGATAACTAACAATAAATAGAAACAAAAAGAAAAAAAATTTCTATTTTTAGTTTAGAAATATAAATAGTAAGAAGGTTGAATTAGTTTATATGTATATATATATATATAGAGTGAGAGAAAAAAAAGCTTTGAATGAAATCCCATTGGAATTAAAATATTAACATAATACAATGACTTTTATTTTGAATGAGAAGATTATGATTATTATTATTATTGTTACTGTTCTTAGCAATGAAAAAAATAATAATACAAAGACATTGATTGAAATGCGCGGGAAGAATGATATGCATGTAGTTTAAGTCAAAAAAAAAAGAAAATTAAAAATTAATGTAAAATTTAATTAAATACATTCATATTTATCATCTATTATCAATTATATGAAACAAAAAATAATATGTTTTTTACACCAAAGAATATTCTATTTATAATAGAAGAAATTATGGTAGATCTTTAATTTTGATGATGAAAACATTTTTGTAAATTCAATTATTTTTAGTTCTATTTTAATTGTAACTTGCAGGGTAATCGCCTGAAGCTGTTAACCGTTTTAGAACTCATATTTTGTTTTTTTTTGTTTTATAAAATAAACTAATAGACAAAAATAAGCCTGACAACAGAATTAGTTTTAACCGGAAATTTTATCTTTAATTAGATGTATGAATCAATGAATGCCTTAAAATTTCCGTCTTGAGATGTTCAATATTAAAAAACTTCTCATTTGTTTTTTTTCTAATTGTTTCTGAAGTCTAATTGATTTGTCAACAAAAAAATATTGCATGTAGACAGTAACTATTTGGATTGAAACTTTGAAGTAGGAGTATTAATTTACTAGATAAATACACATGAATTCTTTCCAAAAATAAAGACAGACTTCTTTCCATGATAGGTCAATAGACAAATACTTAATATAATGACACGATATGTGATATTATTTTCAAAACTAAAGCTGATACATGAGAAAATGTATGCAAAAAACACAATACAGTAATGCTTCTACAATTAAAATATTCTTTGAATCATGAAATTATTTCGTAAAACAAAAAATTTCTCATGATTTTTTTTAGAGATTGTCTATGACTTTGAATCTTTTTTTTTTTGTCTAGAAATCTATTTTCTAAATGCTCAAAACATGATAATCATTTCAAGTATATTAACATAATATCAGAAAAATATTCAAAACTTATTTATGCTTGAAATTGATCGACACACAAATTTCCTGAACTAATATTTCTATTCATTATACACATATATAATAAATATTCATGAGTTTACTAAAAATGACATGTTAATATTAAAATTTATTTTGATCTATTTCTCAATATAATATTATACAAAAAAAAAACACAAGTAATAAATATCTAGAAGAATTTTTTTACTTTATTTTTTCTGAATTAAATTTCATATAAGAAGATTATAATAATAGCATGTCTTTCAAACCAGAAGTTATTTGCTTATCTCTCAAAAATAGATGTCATGTTACTATACTTCCAATGTAGATTATAATGAGCCTATGCATACTATCGGTTTTAATATTAAAACAAAATTCTAAGTACTCTAATAATATTAATTTTGACAACTATAATTGTCCGTTTTTTTTTTTTTGTTTTCGAAAAACTTACTTTTTGTACAACATAATTAGCAAATTGATCTTTCATCATTGTTAATAAAGCACTGTTAGGTCTAAAAATAATATCAAATAAATTTTTAAGAAAACAAAAATATTCTTCTTGTGTTTTTTACCCATCACCAAATGAAACAACTTCATCAATCAATTGTCTTTTTTCATCTCTTGTTGCATAGGTAACACATTTTTCTACAACATTACTAAAACATAAAAAAATTTTATATTCTTAACATTTATAATTCTTCATTTTACCTTGCAAATTTATGTTGTGATAATTGAAGTACACGACCACTAATTGCACTTATTATTCTACTACGATCTTCAACTTTTCCATGTTCTAATACATGTTGAATAACATAATTTCCTAAACAAAATTCCACAAATATATTTTATTTTTACAAATGAAAGATGATATATCAATCGATTCTTCTCTTATAATAATCAATTCTAATGCTGTTTGAATTAGATTTTATATTCTTTTTTCGTCTTCAATTTGTATTATACATCAAACCGAATTATCTTTCTAGTCGATATGATAGCGTTCATAGCGAAATTCTTTTTCTATGGAACTATGAAAACAGTAATTGATTATTAATTATATATCATTCAATAGCAATTTGAAAACTCACTATTGCATTGAGTTTAATTTTGTGAGTAAGATACTTCAGTCTAATGAACAATGATTTGAACTGTAAAAAAGTATTTTCAAAACTTTTGAAGAAACTAAGCAAACTGACTTAATTTGTCGATTTAACCTCGAGGAAAACCAGGGTTACATGTATAAATAAAAAAAAAGTTGCCGGAAGGTTTTATGATATCTATACAGATCAATTATGTTTCTTTTTCTTTTAATGCTAATTACAAATCTACAATCTGTTTCACTAGAAAGCGTAATTATTCTAAGCAGCATTAGTCTCAATGGATAATTTAAAGCACAATGAAAGATTTGTGCGTTAGACTTAAGTGTCTCATCTATAAATTATGTTCAAAGAGATCGTATCATTTTGTAGTTTTCAAAGTGCTACTAAATAGTATATAATTAACTATAGATTACTGCTTTTAAACTTCAATAGGAAGGAAATTCATTATGGGTGTTATCATATTATATATACAAGTAATCAATGTCGTCGAAAAGGAAAATTTTCATAGTAGCATGAATCTATAAAGAGTTTCGAATTACATAAGCATAAACTAAAGGTGATTATTAGTTATTGGCTCATAAACGGATTGTATATAGAGTTTATGCAACCTTGGGATACCGTTGGATGTATATATTATTACACAGCACTAACAGACGGTATTATCATCACCATCATTACTGCTGAATGCGATAGAAGTGGCGTCGTCCCCTATTGACATTACGTAATAGAATTCGATAATACATACGCAATTATATAGAGGAAGTCTTTCTCTACTAACCTACATATATTTCATTCTAGCATCGAAAGTTATCATGACATATATGTTGATTTTATCTCTTAGCATATCTATCATTTTTTCTTATCTTAAAAAAAAAAAAAGCGTTTACCATATTGATCTTGAACAAGATTTTCTAATTCATTATGTAATATATCAAGTATTGGTCGTGTTTGTATTTCTTTACAATTTTCAAGTATACGTTGTATAACTCGACAACCATATGGATGTGTTGAAAGTGTATATACTTGTCTTGTTACATCACGTATAATAAATTCAATACATTCACTTGTACAACATTCAATACATTTTTGTATAACATGATTACCATTTTGATCTTCAATACATTTAATAACATTACCATCTAATTCATGTGCTATTGGCATTTGATATTCAATAGGTAATGTTTCAACAGCTTTTTGTATAACACGACAACCATACATTTGTAAAGCAAGTGATAAAACATTACCACGTATACGTTGTGCTAAATATGCTTTATGTTCAGTTGTACCAAATTCAAAAAATTTCTAAAATAACAAAAAGATTTAAAAAAAAAATAAAAAAATAAAAATATTTTCTTATTACTTGAATAACATAATTTCCAAAAACATCAGTCATAAGTTGTGATGCATTAGGAAGAATTTCTTTAAAAACTAAATCTTTTTCAGCATTTGTTGCACGTTCAAGTTTTTGTTGAATAAATCTTGAACCATGTTGATCCATTGAAAATTCAGCAAAATGACCAATAACATCACGTAATTGTAAATTTGGCATACGACTATTACGAAAATCATCTAATAATTTACTACGCATCATATTTGAATCACGACCTGAACCATTACCATTTAAACCATTATTTGTATTATTTCCATTATTACCAAAAACATTTGGAGGATAAAAACTAGGCATTGTTCCACTTATACTACCAACACTACGACGTCCAACATAAATATCATTACCATTAAGAATTTGTTGTTGTGAACCACTTGTTTGTTGTCCTTGTGATGGAAAAAATCTTGTATTAAATAATCCATCAAATGCTGCTGTATTTGATGATGGTGGTGGTGTCATTGATGTAATTAAACTGTTGTAGGCAGGTGATGGAGGTAAACCACTTATTTGACCATGAAATAATGGTGTTTGTTGTTGTTGTTGACCTTGTTTAGATAAACGAGGATCACCAGGAAAACGTGAAAAATCAGTCATTGGACCATCACGTCTTTGTGTAGGTACTGTATAAACATCTATGATTAAACAAAATAAAATTGAGTATTTTAATTAATCTTTTAAATAGTGCAACAATATACTTGGAGGCATGTTATAGGTAATGGAGTGAAAGTTTTTGTTGGGAATTTTAAGTAGAGTTAAGCAACGGAAATGCCTTAAAATACGGATATTGGTTAGAAAATCAGTTTTTTTGACAATATTTACCTGCTTAACAGACACACCTAAGAGATATACTGAATCTAATTTTCATAATAGTCAACGAGTAAATCTCTTTGACTGCTCCTTTTGATTTTAATGATTTTTTTTTTGTCTAAGCTATTGAATTTTGATTTCAAATTTTGGATATATAGAAAAACTTTCATAAATTTTAAACAAAGCTTCTTTAATATATGAAAATTTCAAGATACACACCGTTTTCTATGGATAATAAATAATACAACATGAATTTTTTTTATGGAACTTTATATAGTTGAGTTATTTATATGTACAAACTTTTAGAGCGAGATTCGAAAAACCTGAAATTTCTAGAAGATTCAATACCATAGACACATCTTAATCTTAAAGAGTTTTTACTAGAACACTATTGAGTATCTATAGGTGGTTTCTCTAAAAGCTCAGTAAGACGAATGCACATTCCTTAATATCAATCCAAATTAGAGTTACAATGCTCTAGTTTGTGTTCTTTATGACTACAGTTAGCATAAACATTTTTGAACCATCATACAGCAGATTTTCTAAAAAGTTTTGATTTTTCAAAGTATTTCTATTGAAAATCAATGATATTTTAGTATTTCAACGCGTGAAACTACATCATATGAATAAGATATTTCCTAAAAAAATTTCTTATAAGTGATTTTCTAATTGAATTTCAATCACTTCTAAGCAAAATGAAATTATTTATAAAAAAAACTCTAATGTGAACATACCATTGAATGAACTTGAAAGTGAACTTGCAACTGGACTACCATAGAGACCACTTTGATTATTTGTATTAACTAAAAAAAAAAAAGAAAAGAATATATAAAATAGTATTTTATTTTTGAATCAAAAATTACTTGGTATTGGTACTTGTTGTGGATACATACGAAGTCCAGGTGAACCAGCTGGTTGTCTTGAAGTTTGCATCATTAAATTAGGATCAAGAAATGTTGGTGATGCAGCCGCAAAAAATGGAAAATTAACTTATAAAACAATAAAATTTCATTCATTATTATAAATCAAATTTTTATTTTACCTGGTGTTTGTGCAGCACGTGTCATATTAATATATTGTGCTTGTTGTTGATTTGATTGTGATGTTGTTAATAAATCTGTTGAATTTGGTGGTGTTAATGGTCGATTATTATTATTATTATTATTTGTTTTTGATTGTGGTGATTGTTGTTCATTATTTAATGTTTGTTGTTGTGTTAAAATTGTTTGTGGTGGTGCTGGAAACATAACAGCCGTTGGTACAGCTGACCAATATTGTGGTTGAAATGATGGATGTGTTGCTGATGTTTGATGAAAATTAGCTAATGATTGTAAATAATTATCTTGATTACTATTAATTATATATTGATTTGATGATGGTAAATAGGATGCTTGAGGATTTGCTGATGTTTGTTGTGCAGCAACAGCTGTTGAAAGCCATGACATAAGTGGTGTTTGAGCTAAATTAGCTAATTGAGGATCTTGTTGTGTTGTACCTGATGCTTGAGGATTGAAAGCAGAAATTATTGATTGACTTTCAAATCTAAAAATAAAATTGTTAGTATGATTTTTATCAAATAAAAATATGAAACACGATATAGCTAATCATAGAAAGACTATTTGATCGTTGAATACATTTCTTCTTTTACTTAATCGTTTAGAAATAGAATAAAAAAAAAATATTGTCGATATACTGTATATCAACAACGTCTGTTATGATTAGTGACAGTACTCAAAATTTTACTTTTAAGTTAAAGTAGAAGTTTTTCACAATGAATTTAATTTTGTTAAAGTGCTAATTCTAGTGATAGTCTGTGTGAGGAAGGAATGCTATACTTAAATATTCATTTTTGATCGTGTTTCATAAAATAAGAAAATTGTTAAAGTTTTACTAACGAATGTGGTTGAATTAATGTATAATCAAATTGTTGAAAATTTGTTGTACGTGGATCAATTTCATAATGAGCTGTTTGTTGTTGTTGAAGTCTTGGATATTGTGCTTGATAACTAAAAAAAAAAAAAATAAATAAAATTTCTTCAAATTTTTATTAATTTCAATGAAATTACGCTTCTTGTTGTTGTTGTTGTTGATAAAGTAACATTTGTTGTTGATGATTATCGGTTTGCATTGCTTGAAATGGTATTGGTAGAGATGCTGTTGGTATACCATTTATAATAGCATGTGTTGATATACCACTATCATTTGTATCATCATTAGAAACAATTGTATTTGTTGATGAAAGATTTTCAATTGTATTACTATTTGTTAAATTAGTATTAATATGACCAGGTGATGAACGTGGTGATTGTTTATGACTTGAACTTTTTAATACATTATCACCAACTGTTTCATCAGATTTACAATCATTTATGTTATCAATTGGTTTTTTATCATTATCACTGTCAGTCTAAATATATATATATTCTAGTGCTTTATTTATTTTTTTTTGAGTGGTAAGAAAATATCGATAAAAATTTCCTGTTCAAATATGAAATTTAACATTGTCAATATAAATGTATGTCGAAAAAAAAAAGTTTTAAGTAATTCTATTAATTTTTATTGATGATATTTTAATCACATTATGCTGTTCTTTTCTTTTTATTCTTTCTGAAATTATTGAAGCATTTATGTATTTTTTTTTTTTTTTGCAAACTATTGCGTGTCTGTTCTAAGTTACAATGCTCTTTATGACACACAAACAAATAGAGCTTGATATATTCTACGCAAGAAGTAATTTTTCCTTGAGTACGACGTTTTTTTGACCTATATCAGAAAATTATCAACAAAAGGGTGAGAAAATATAATCATCATTTTCATATGTTGAGTTAATTATATCATAATACATACACAAATCATAGATAGACTTTCTCAGTATGGTTTTATTCATGCATTAAAAGACATAATACAAAAATCTTTATATTTCAAAATTAAAAGTAATTATATAACTTTATTACTTTATAACATAGTTGATTTTTATGTCTCACACCTATATCGATAGAGTCTCAAATTTAGAACAACGCACTATATTAAATTTCATTTGATACATGTTTGTTTATTATACAATCTGTTGCTGGAACTACTGTAAGCATTGTACGCCTGCTATTTATGATGTAACCAACGTATATATATGATATAATCTGTTTTGAATTTTAGAAGGATACCATCTCCTACTTTTTAAAAAATTGTTTATGCAATTTTTTTGAGCTCTCAAAAGATTTCCTTACATCTCTCTCTCTCTCTCTTGTGGTACAAACATGGGCATTTCAAATGGGAGTGACCTCCTTCGCTTCAATCGTGATAATCTCTCGACATTCCTAGAAAATTTCTTACAAAGTGAAAACAAATTTTTAATAACATTTTCACTGTGTAAATAAGATCGCACCAGAAAATCTATCTGTGATTGACAATGTAACATATGGATGTACTTCATTCATACAATTTGTAGTACTCTTGATAATGCTATATTGGAGAATCAAATGACTAAAGATTATATGAAGAAAAAAAACAAGTCTCTTTTTGTTAACAATTTTCATTGTAGATCAAAAACAACATTGTGTTTTTAATTTTGATTCAGAGAAAAGGTTTGATAAAAAGTGCTGCGCGTTATATAGTTTACTTTATGCTCTATTAACTAGTATGTGAATTTCAACTTAGAACAGACATACAATAGTTTGAAAAATAATAGCATGTTATGATTATATCATCCATAAAAAACTAAACAGAACAATGGTTTGACTAGATGCTATGAAGACAAAAGTCAAATCATAATAGTTTATTTATTTCTTACAAACTATATAAAATTATAAATATTTTTACTTACGTAAATTTTCATATTTTGTAAACGTTGTGAAACATCTTTAATTGTATTATCTTTAACACGTGGTGAATTATCACCTTCTAATATATTAATACACATATTAACACCGAGATTTGCTGGATCGGTTGATTTTGGTGAAAAAACAGCACTATGTGAATCAGTATAACCTGATGTTATATCCGATGCTCGATTCGGCATATTAATTGGTTGTGAAACTGAATGAGCTGAACGTTCTTAAATGAAAAAAAAAACAAAAATAGAAATAAATTCAAACATATTTTATTATTTTTTCTTCTTCTTTATTTTTACCATTTGAAGTATAATCTGTAGTACTTTGTGATGACCACATATCATATAACATATACTAATAACTATACATATATAATAATACATAGATAAGTTTTATTTATAGATTTATTTTACATACCGTATTTGTAAGTAGAAAGTATGAAACAACAAAAAAAAAGAATTTGATTGACCAGAAATACAAAAATGCTCAAAAAAATTTTGCCAGGATTCGCTAGTACAAATTGATGAAGATATGATGATCGTTTTTTTTTTTTTACATAGGTACAAAACGTCGAGATAAATTCAAGACACGAAAAGGGAATAGATAGACAAGGCCTATGTACACTATGAACAGTAGAAAACAGGGATGATGACAACGGCGACCACGCGCGACGATGTACTTTTACAAAATACACACGAATAAAGAATAATAAACAATGACCTAAAAATCGTAAATAATCAACATAGAAATAGAAATATAACGTGTATTTTTCTTACGTTCTTTGTATACTTGACCGCCATGAGATCGATATTTTACCTTCGATAGGATTTAGAAGATGTTTTACAATGATTTGAAGGTATATGAAGTAATTTAATATCGATTACAATTTTATATATGAAATTATTAATAATAAAAAGTCTTAAATCATTTAAAAGGATTTAATTAAATAATACAAAAGAGGTCGCTGTTAAATAGAGTGAACTCAAGTTTTAATAATTTAGATATCAATTGAATTTTTTAAATAACTTAACTAATTTTATATAACTAACGAACGAAGAATATTATTGAAAGTATCTATGGATCGTTCTATTTTTCAAAATTCCTAAAATGATTATTGATTCATTACTAACACCCACCTCTTCGCAATTATCTTCTCAAGAAATACAACCGAAAAAACAGTATGAATCAGTGCTCAACAAGAAATGTAAATCATAGAATGATTAATTTTTTCTATCACGCATAAACAATAAGAATATTTATGCTAACTTACTTAAATTTTCGTCAAGTCTATACAACAGAAAAAAATATCATATTGATACCGTAACGTACGATAAATCACTTTCAAATAGATATTAATCATATTGTATTTTTCATTCTTATTTTTGTTTCGTTCGTATTCTTAATCACTCGTCAATTGGCTATCTTGGTATGCAATTCACATACTAAAACGGTCTCGCTCTGCATTCATAAGCTAATGGAATGTATTATAATTACAAGTCATACTTAATTCATGTTATTTCACTAGAAAAAAAAAGACATCTTCTGATAAAAAGAAAAAGAACGATTGATTGTAAAATTATCATTGATTGAAAAAGAAAAGCTTTTCAATGAAAAAATTGCTATGTTAATTTGTAGTATCATTATTAAGTACATTTTAGCATCTTTGAAAATTTATTTAATATTCAAAACAAAAATAATAATAAATGTACTTAAGTAGAAAAAATATTTCAAAGATATTTATCTTAGATTAGCTTTCTAAACAATATGTAAAATCATTAATTTACTTCAAATATTTATTTCTAACATTAAAAAAAAAAAAAATAAAAGAAAGAAGTAAAATATTAGTACAACAACAAAAAAAAATAACGAAATAAAAGATTATTCTTGATTGTTTCATTAAAATAAATCATATTAAAAAAAACAAAATCACAAAGGTTCCAAATAACCATGATATTGACTCCATTTTTTAAAAAGTCGTGGAGTTTCTTCATCACCGACTAAAAATTTTAATGATGTTATGTGTAATGCATATCCCGGTACATTACGTGACAATAAAATAACAGTACCAAGTTCTTTATGACATGCTTTATTTGGACAAACAACTTTTTCTAAAAACAAAGTAAATTTGAAAAATCTGATCTTATAATAAAATCTCGTTTTAACCTGCAAGTGCTTTTGGTGGTTTAACAAATTGTTCAAATGTTGGATCAACACAGATAACTGTTGTACCTTGAAGTCGTAAACTGGAACCTTTACACAGATATATATCACAAAAACGACAATGAATTTCTTTAGCTGTTTCTTGATTAGATAGAGATAATTTTGATGGCGTCTGTTGCATGTCATTTTTAAATAAATCTTCTATTAATTCATCCTTTAAATAATAAAGACAGAAAATATGATGAAGAAGAAATAATGACATGAAGAATTAATCAAATCATACTTGTTCTTTAATTACAAGTTTTCGAAATTCTGTAATGCCTCGTTCACGCCAATCATTTATTGCTTGTTTCATTTCTTCTTCTTTTTCTCGATTTTCTAATTCACGTTGATTATTTATGGATACTTTACAATTAATAAAATATTGATTAATTAATTAATGATATAACAGATTAATGAACTTACATGCTTCTGTTATTAGAAAACATTTACTTTGAGCAGCTCGTGCTCGTCCACGACTTTGAACAGTACCAATTTCATTTGATACAAATTCATAACGGATTACATATGAACATTCAGCAACATCTAGTCCTTCTTGAGCAACATCTACAAATATAAATTGATATAATTGTTTTTTTTTTGAGAGAATCTTGTTAACTAACCAGTTGCAACAAGTAAATTTTTTATTCCTAAAGAAAGAAAAAGAGCCTTCCATTGATAGAAGATATAATTTTATAAGAAATGTAATTTACCTTTTCGAAATTCATTAAGAACTGTTGCTTGTTGAGTACCTGGTAATGCAAGATTTTCAGCTGAGCCTTGTCCTGTTAAATATCCTACGCATATTTGACGTTTGATTAATTCTGGATTTTTATTAAGAAAGTCTTCAAGTGTAGCTGCATGAAATTTAGTACGTACAAGTATCAAACCTAGAAGACATAATTGTTTATTCATCGTTTTTTATAAAGGTTGAGATTTAGATATTGACAGAACAATAGTTTGGTTGTGTATTTCATCATCAATATAAAAATCATTGAAATAAGGTTCGTCGAATTTCTTTGGAGGACTTAGGTCAGTGATGGTTCTTTTCGTTTTCTTTCTGGATATTATACCATGGAAAGATCTACTGTAAGTATGATTTCAGAATATAGTTGATAGCTTCAATCATGGAAATGAAGATCTTCAAATATTGACTGTTTAATTCAATGATGCATCTAGTGCTCAATAGATATATAGGCTTTCTACATTTTCATGTAGTTTTCACATCAAATGTTGAAGTTGAAGGGCATCCTTTTGTCCAGCAATATGTTTTTTTTTAATCTTATTGGTTCAATCATGCAAGATTTTTAATTAGTCATATACACATACTATAGGCAGTCTATATTAGAGTTCGGAATAGGAGAACAGCTTTTCTTAGACATCATTTGTTTTTTCGTGATAAGAGAACACAAAAATTGTCATCTGATTTTTACTTTCTTGCTTAAACTGAACATATAAAAAATTATTGCGAACTATAATTTATCATCGAAATTGAAAAATGAGAAATTGTAAAACTATGGTTTCATAATATTACCTCGACAATTAGGTGTATGCAAAGAAATAATCATTTCAACAAGTTTTATTAATTTAGCTTTGACTGCAACTGAAAGTGATGTTTGCATTGCAACAAATTCAAGAAAACCTTGTAATTTTTTTTGACAAAATTGATCAAATATTGTAGGTATACTAGGTATGGATTCTTGTATAGCTTCTGTAAGCCATTTCATACAATGATCAAGCGGTAAATCATCATAGTATAGAAGAAAACGCTAAAATATACATATTCAAATTAATAAATACAACAAAAAGACAATGATTCTCTCATACATGAATTTTTTGTAGATAATCACAACCAATAATTGCATCACGATCATTTCTTTTACATGCATTTTGATGTTCAACAACAAGAAAATTTTCTAACTTTTGATTATCCATTATCGATATATCATAACCAAGATGACTAGCAATTGATTTCATAACATCATCTTTAAGATTCATTACAATTGGATCATATTCTTCTTTAGCTATAGTTAATATAGTATCACTTGATGGTGTATTTGTTGAACTACGAACTTCATCTTCTTCAGCACCTCGTTTAATAGCACATATTTCAAGACAATCAAGATTAGCACATAAATGAACAAGATGATCAAATGCATTTTTTTTATTTGTTCCAATACTTGCTGTTCTAGAAAAATCAATGATGAAATTTAATAAAACAAAAAAACAAACGAAAGAAACTCGTCTTTTTTTTTACAAGGCGATTATTTGTGGTACATGACAATTCGATAGTTTTAAACGATGATATTGACGCATAAGAGAATTTATTGGATGATTATCATAGCAATGATGACATTCTTAAAATATAATGAAAATAATTTTTCTTTTTTTTTTTACCTTGTCTTCATGTATTATTTTTTATTTTACCATCAATGATAATTAAATCAAATTTAGTTAAATCAGCATGTTTTGCTTCGATAAAATTAACAAATTTTTGTACTGTGGAAAAGAAAATATCGAATTGTTGATAAAGATCTTTAAATCTGAATAATAGAAAATAGACTTGATTATTTATGTATATTTCTTATATTTTTTTAATTACCTTTCTCCAGCTTGATTATCAATTGATTTAAGTATTGAGTCAGGTTGATCGATAAAAACTTTCCTAAATGCTGCACATTGTTGAGCAACTAAGGCTTTTATTGGAACAAGAAAAACAGCTTTAAATCGTCTTATTGCATTTGATGAAGTTGCAGATGCAGATGTATTATTAAGTTTTTGAAATGATAGAATATACAAGAATTTAGCAACCATTCCAGCAATCTAATAACAAGAAATTTACTAATTCGATGTAGATCTATTAAGAGAAGACTTGCATGGTAACATTTCATTGTGTACATCTATCTATACATTTGGACGTTATGTATCACGTATGTAATAGCTTATAGTGGCATGGTACTCTAGTCTCGACATGCATGCATAGAATAATGGTGAAGACGGGGATCTGAAGATTCATTTCACCTTTTTTGTTCGCGGGAGGTCTATTTCAAAAAAAATAGCTAAACTTATTAAAATGTAACTGAGCTTTTCTCAGAACTAGAAGATCAAACTCGATAATTTTGACAAACCTTCGGATTCCTAGATTCAGAAAA